CAGTTGTTAGCTGCCATGTGGGTGCTGGGAATCGAACCCAGGTCTTCTGCAAAAACAGTCAGTGTTCTTAACTGCTGAGCCATCTCTCCAGCCCAAAACCCACTGAATTTTTTAATAAACTTGACTTGTTACAAAAAAGGCTCAAGACCTAGGGCTATGCCCTGCACCTTCCAATCTCACCATCACAGAATGAGGCCCCCCCATATGGTGACCCCCTCCAGTCAACCTCCAGCCTCCATACACAGAAGCACACATATGCACACATCCATACAAACCGACATACACATGCACATACATACAAAATAATTGAGTTGGGCATGGTGGTACATGCCTATAATTCTACAACTTGAGAAGTGGAGTCAAAAGGATCAGAAGTTCAAGGCCAGCCTCAGTAAAGGGTAGCCTGGACTACCTTGTCTCAGTTTTCTTTTTTTCGAAAACTAGGGTTGGAATTGTAATTCAGTGGTAGAGTTTGTGCTTAGCATATGGAAGGTATGGAAGGCCCTAGATTTAATCCTCAGAAACAAAAGACAAAAAAGAGCTAGGGTATGGTGGTGCATGCCTGTAATCCTGGTACTTGGGAGGTGGATACAGGAGGATTTTGAGTTATGGGCTAGTCTAGGCTACTTAGTGAGCTTCAAGTCAGACTAAGATATATAATGAGGCCATTTCAAAATATCTAAAAAGGGCTAGGGAGATGGCTCAGTGGGTAAGGTGCTTGTAATGAGCACTTTAATAAGAATGAAGACCAGAGTTTAAATTTTTTAATGTACTTTTATGTGTACGAGTGTTGAACCTCACATGTAAGGTTATATGTAAGTGCACCCATGCTCTCAGTGCCCACAGATCCCAGAAGAGGGCATCAGATCCCCTGGAACTGGAGGCAAGGACAGTTGTTAGTTGCCATGTGGATACGGTGAACTGGACCTAGGCCTTCTGCAAGAGCAGTCAGTGAGTCAATTTTCAGTCCTGAGACCAGAATTTAGATCCCCAGAAGCCAAGTAAAAAAAAACTGGGTGAGCATGCTAACCCACTTGTTATCCCAGTGAATAAGAAGCAGAGACAGGGATGCCCAGAGCAAACTGGTTAGCCAGACTAGACAAAACAGTGAGCTCTGGGCTTATTGAGACATGCTACCTCAGTATATAAGGTGGGAAAGTGACCAAGGAAGGTGCCCATTAACCTCAGGCTTCCACATGCATGTGTGCCCCTCCACATGTGCACCTTCATACACGTGAACACATATATACATATGCAAACAAAAATGTTTTGAAAATTGTATGGCAGGAGATGAGTTTGAATCTTTGCTTTATTTTTTTTTAGACTTTATTGTTTATTATTTTTTATCATTTTTTTATGTGTATGAGTTTATTGCCTGCATGTATGTGAGTGCACCTGTGTCGTGCAATGCCACGGAGGTCAGAAGAGGGCTTCGGATTCCCCTGGAACTGGACTTAAAAATGGTTTGTAGCCACCATGTAGGTGCTGGGAATCAAACCCAGGTCCTCTGCAAGAGCAGTCAGTGGTCTTACCTGCTGAGCCATCTCTCCAGCCCCTGAATCTTTGCTTTTAATCACCACATGGCCTTAGTAAATCCTTGATATTTCTGGAGCCTGTTTCTCCATTTCACAAGGCGACCTGCACACCCATTCTACCCGCCTGTGCTTCAGTGTCCCCCTCTTCTCAGCTGACTTCCTCACTATTCTCATCTTTGTTTCCCCGTCTTTAAGTTTTGTTCTAAACTCTATTTTGAACTTGAAAAATAAAACAAGAAAAGCTCTAGGGGCTGGAGAGATGGCTCAGTGATTAAGAGCACTGGCTGTTCTTACAGAGGACCTAGGCTCAGTTCCCAGCACCCACATGGCAGCTCCAGTAACTCCAATTCCAAGGGATCCAACACCCTCTTCTGACCTCCGTGGGTACTGCACAACACGAGTGCACTTACATACATGCAGGCAATACATGCATACACATGAAATTTTAAAAATTAATAAATAGGGGCTGGAGAGATGGCTTAGCAGTTAAGAACACTGGTTGTTCTTGCAGAAGACCCGGGTTTGAATCCCAGCACCCACACAGCAGCTAACGACTGTAACTCCAGTCCCAGGGGATCCGACAGCCTCTTCTGACTTCCAAGGGCATTGCATGACACAGGTGCACTTACCTACATGCAGGCAATACACGCATACACATAAAATAAAAATAATAAATAAAAAATTTTAAAATTTAATAAATAGAATATTTTTTCAAAAGTTCTAGTCCTTGAAGTTCATTTTTGTTTTGTTTGAGACAGTCTTGCTATGTAGGCTAGGCTGGCCTCATAATACTTCCATGCCAGCTTCCTAAATGCTGGGATTATAGGACAGCCAGTGTCACTCTGTTTGAAGAACATTTGTTTGTTTTGAGACTGTGTAGCCATGATTGGCCTAGAACTCATTAAGTAGACAAGACTGACTTTGAGCTTACTTGGATTCTCTTGCTTCTGTCACTCATGTGCTGTGGTTAGACAAGTGTATCACCATGAGCAGCTTAACGAACATTTTAAAACATCTGAATACGTACTACGTGCCAGGCACTGGGGATCCAGGGCTGACAGACTTAGTGTTTGCTCCCAGTACTTATCATATACTAGAAGAGATAGTGCCTGGACTGAAAAAGTAAATATTTTAAAATTTTTTGAGGGGCTGGACAGATGGTCAGTGGTTAAGAGCACTGACTGCTCTTGCAGAGGACCCGGGTTTGATTCCCAGCACCCACACGGCAGCTACGAACTGTCTTTAACTCCAGTTCCAGGGAAATCCGAAGCCCTCTTCTGACCTCTGTGGCATTGCATGACACGGGTGCAGTCACATAGATGAAGGCAATACACTCATACACATAAAATAAAATAATAAATAAAATAAAAAAAGACGTTTAAAAAATTTTTTGAGCACTCAGGAGGCTGAGGCAGGACCCTATTTCAATTTATTTTAAAACATTTTATTATTTTTATTTTATGTGTATTGCCTGCATGCATGTAAGTGCTCCCATGTTGTGCAATCTCCACATAAGTCAAAAGGGGGCATGGGGCAGGGGGCTGGAGAGATGGCTCAGCAGTTAAGAGCATTGACTGCTCTTGCAGAGGACCTGGGTTCAATTGCCAGCACCCACATG